TCAGCAATCATTTTTCCTCGTTTTTTGTGCACGTTTCGTTCCATGAACTTCAAGCTTTAAATACCCTCATGGCGATAAAAGCCGCCTCATTTCCTTGTTCAACTCCTCTCTTTAGATTTTCTTTCTTGCAAACCTGACTCCTCAATTCGTCTGTGTATTCAGATTTTCACCGAAAAGTCGACTTTCCCTAGTTTAATTTGAAAGCTTCACAAAGCTTATTCTTTTGATTTCATACTTCGGGCTCTAGTTTGTTGCTCGTTCCTAACTAGTTATATTTCTCAACTCTTGTTTTTGTTCCTTCGTTCTGGATCCCTCGAATTCGAGGTAGTTATTGCACTTTTGGACCTTTCGTTTTTGCTATTTTAGGAATCGAGACTCTACCTTGTATCCCATTCCCCTCTTTCTTGACTCTTATTCTGCAGCTAGGATCTTTGTCATCGGTCATTGGTGTCTTGCCCCCTTGACCCTTAGGGAGTGTTTTTCAAAGATTTCCCCTCTTTACGGGTCCTTTAAACTTTCTTTCTCTTGCCTAGTTATGTCTGCTTTTTACAAAACCACGGGTTCATCTATTTCTCTAATGGGGGATAGGTTTACTGAGGAGGATACTGATTTGGGAGACATGGGCGAGGAGATTGATAATTTCCTAGGCGTTGATTCTATCAATGTCAAGGAAAATTTTGAGGAGCCTTCCTCGTCGTCCTCCCTTGTGCCCAAAAACCCTAATAAAGGTAAAACCAAGGTAGCTGGTGTAGGGATCTCTGGTAGTACTAAGGGTCTAGGAGCTGCCTCTAGAGCTGTAGAGCTCGTGGGTCTTAATGAGATATCTCCTTCTTATTTGAGGTTCTAGCTGCTCGTTTTGATTTTTCTCCAGGTGTACAACACTAGAGCTTAGATGTATATACCTGATATGACTCCTCAATTCCTAAGAAAGTCTTCTTTTTCATGGACGCCTTTGAGAACGGCCTTCGCTTTCCAATTTACCCTTTTATTAAGAGTGTCTTGCAACACTTTAATGTTTGTTCTGCTCAACTTTCTCCTAACTTCTAGGGTGTACTGGTGGGTCTCCTTGTTTTCTTCAAGAAACATGAACTTAGAGTTCCCACCGTTTCTTTGTTCATGAAGTTTTTCAATATTAAATACATTCCTTTCGATGACTTTTTCTACATTTCTAAACGGGTGAGAACCAAGGTTATCATCTCTGATCTCCTAAGCCCCCACACAGGTTGGAAAAAAAATTTCTTCTTTGTAGGGGGGCCAAACAAATGGGAATTCAATTCTGCAGATGCAACAGATACTCTTTCGTTCTCAGTCCTGGTCTGCCCCTGACAACCTGGGTAAGTGCTATAACTTTAGAATTGATCACCCAAGTGCAGGTTGTCGCAAAATAATATAATATTCGAAAGTCTGAGGTCGAACCACAAGGAATTGTAACAAAAAGTAATTACAGAAATACCAAAGAAAATTTGAAAGAACAATTTGTGTAAAAATTGTTGAGTTGAAAATATTGTTTTGAGATATTTAAATAATATAATAAAAATATTAGAGCATCAGGTACTCCCTCTCAATTTCATAAAACAATGATTAAAGACTTAAATCTTAACTTTAGACAAAAATTAGATGTCGGTTGATTCGAGTAACAAATCAAGTAAGAAAATTAAAAGTTATAATCAAAAACTATTCAGGAACCTGAATAATCATTCAATTATATTATTTTATGAAATAATGATAAATACCTCAAGCGTAGAATAACCAGTTATTTACTCACAGAAAAATTCAAGCAATCAATGTACATGGCACAACGACTCAAGGTTTTTAACATAATAAAAACTTTGCTAAGAAATTAGAAGTTAAATTAACAAAACATCATAAATTATTAAGCACAGAGCCAATAACAGTACCGTACTTCGTTGAGAGGTTTTCTCCTAACCCTAGCTTAGTCTTCTAGCCAGACATAACGAACTAAAACAAAAATAAAAAGATGGAAAAAAGAATTATCATAATCTCTAAATAAGAACCTTTATTTATACTAATAATAAATCCTAAGTACAAGTTGAAAGGAATTCTTTTCCAAAGAAGAAGTCTTGTGAGGTTAAATCCCGTGCATAAAATTTTTGGGACGCAGGGACAAAATCTGTCCAGACTTCGAGATTAAATTTCGCATATTTAGAGATTAAATCACGAAAATTTCGTGAAATAAACTTTTGTAGCCCTTGAAGTTTTCTTTTTAACCCCCAAATATCAAGTAAATCGGATATCAGATTCAAAAGTTATGACCAAAATACTGAAAATGTGTCAAATCTTTTTCTTCTTGAACACTTTCCTAATACAACTCTAAATGAGTTTTCTTCTAACTTGGACTCTTATAAGGATTAAACTGTTGTCATATCTTCAAGTCTTCCAATCTCAATATTGACTCTTCAATCCTTATCAATTATCATTCTTCCTCTAATGATTGCTTCATTTGCATTATCCATTATTACTTTAAATCAACCAATTTACCTGCAAAATAAATCAAACAACTAAAAAACGTATCAAACTAGAAAATCAATGAATTTAACACATTTAATCACAAATAATATACAATTAATCAATCATTAAATATAATAAAATAACAATTTTAATGATTAATCAGTAAGCCCTCGCCTGAGCAAGCTAGGATCAGTTTTGATGACTTACTCTGCTGACCTTGCTTTGCTTGTTTTGTTTTGCTCCTCAAGTATTCGTCCTGAACTCAGCGTTGTGGATAGGCGGGTTTTGTTGAACTTAGAGGATTGTAATTCGGAGAGATACTCTGAGCTCATTAAGCCCTAGATTCTTATAACGCTCAGGTTCAGCCCTCTTGAGGTAAGGATCAAGACCCCTATTCCCATTTTCGTTGCTAGTGCCGAGGAGATGGCAAGTAATACTTCCTTTGCCCATTTCTGACTTTTTAGCTTTCCCCCTTTCCTTTTTTTTCTTTTCTTTTTTTAAACCCTTTGAGTTTCCAAGTTCTTCCTTGATAGAGCCTACTCGAGAAGCACTTCAAGCCAAGGTAGACCTGTTAAAGAAGAACAGGAGTGGGAGCAAACGCAAGGCCGAGGTTGGGAGTACCCTCCGCTTCTCCTACTTTAACTCAAGTGGCATTTATTCCGTCATCGGGCTTTCCACAAGTCGTAAAGACCTCTTTGCTTTATGGGACCCCGCCTGTTTCGGGAGAGGTGCCTAAGCATGGTCCTACTTCTCCTTCTTTAGTTAAGGTCAAGAGAGCCCTGGATCTCGTCTCTCATGTCCAACCTACTTCTACCTCTTCTAGGCCATCTAAGAAGCTTTCTCAGCTACTTCAAACGAGGTCCAAGGTTGAGAAAGAGAAGCATCCCAACGCAGATAGAGGTGAAGGTTCTTTTCTCAACAATGCTGAGCTCACTGCTGGTGGCCTTGACTCCATCATTCATGTCTTCGATGTTCATAGGGCTGCCGTTATTCTCCTTGGGACCTCTATTAGTTCAGTGTTACATGGAGCTACAGCTATAAGACCCCATCCTTTTTAGGTTCTATTATTACCTTGTGCTTCCATTTTATGCTGACTTGTATCTGTTCCCAGCTGGTCATTCACGTGAAAGGTTTGTTGAATCCGAGCCTTATAGTCTAATTCCTAACTTTATGAGATCTGCAACGGGATCTTTGCCTTCCATCCATGGGCTCTCCCTTGATTTTGGGAGAAAATCTTGCTTAGTGAAGAGCTTAGCGCCTTGATTATAACTTTTTGTTGCTTCGAGGGCTCCCTCCATCATCCAGTTGTTTCCTTCTCATTTTCCTTGTTTCTTCTAAAGGGAGTTCGAGTCTGGACCACTGAGCTCTAGATATCTCATCTAACCTCCTTGTCAGATCTCACTTCCCGAGCTCATACTTAGCTAGAATTCCGTATGGGTATCATCAATATTAATCAAGAGATCTTGTGGGAGACTTGAACTTGAACAATGAAAATTCTAACCCTCAGTATTATCAAAAAAAAGTTTGGGCTTTAGACTTCATTTTTCAAAGAAGGCCCCAAATTTTTAGATATCATAAATAATTTATGTAAAAAAATTAAATTCATAAATACTTTAAGCCCTATAAAAAGGCTTTATAAAAATACAAGTTCAATCAAAAACAATTTAAGGACTCACTTCAAAAAAGGCCCCATAATTTATAGGTGTGTGTTATAGGCTAACCAAAAAATTTAAATTCATGATTTCAATTTAAATAGATTGAGTCTATTAACTCAGTCGTGAAATTAAAAAATTCTAAAATTTATTTTATTTAAATAAAGAAAAAAATAACTATAAAACTAAATCTACTAAAAAAAATTAAATTTAACCCCCAAAAAAATCAAGTTTAAATTTACCATCATTATTTTTCAATTATTTTTTCTATCTAGTACCATTAAGTTTAAATATAATAACAAAAACTTGAATATAAAATTTTAATTAATATTTTTTGTATTAAAAAAATTAAAAATTAAATTTTTTATTAATATTAAAAATAAAAAAATATAATTTATCATTTTTATTTTAAACCCCAAAATATCTGGGGCCACCCCTGACCCTCAAACTCCTGTGAAAGGTTAAGAAACGATCTCGAGGAGGACATATGGTTAAAGGTTAATCATCCGCCAGTCAAATAAATGATTGGAGAACTGGTACAAAGTCAAGTATTTCTCTTTCGGTTGTTGAAATGGCAATTCAAGTGAAGTTGCTAGCTTATATCAAGTTGAATTTTCAATTTTTTAAAAGGTAATCGACGGTTTAGAAAAAAATTGATCAAAGACTTTTCTACAGTGCAATTCTAACATGTTCAATAGTCTAAGTATGTCATCTTATAAATAAAAGGTCTTAAGAATAAGTCACCCTTATTTCTCAGAAAAAATATCTTTAAACTATCTTGAATTATGGTAATTAATTTAAAGTTTGACAGAATAATTAATATAAACTTGAACATCCACCGATAGAAAAGAAAAACGGTGTGGTCCAACATGCCGGACTTCCAACGAAAAATCCATAAATTGCCATCACTTCAGTAACACAAGTTGTCCAAGCACTTGGACTTTGGTGGAAGTGACTCTAATTTCAAGCTTCTCTTTTTAGTGGAACTTGCGCTCCAGTTCTCTCCCACCACACAGTTCTCCTCCTATTCAGCTGCTACTATTGCATCATGGGTTCTCCTTTGTTTGGCACCAGTAATCTCATTCTATTAACCTTACACAACCTTCTTTCTGGCTTTGTCAAGCATCTTTTTGCGATGCTATTTTCTTGTGTTCATCTTCTATGGAGTGCATGTCCATCTGGACACACCTTCGATGACTCTGAAGTAGAACATCATCGTCGACCATCTCCTTCATTAGTACCAGTCCCGGTCCACTTCATCATTGAATCCATCAAGGAGAAACTCCCGGTGAAAGAGTACAATTGCTTGCTTGAGAGATTGGGAGCACATAAAAATGATAGAATGTGTGTAGTGTGTTTGATGTGCATGAAGGCAAGTGATGAGGTGAGAGAGCTTGGCAGTTGTTGTCATGTTTATCACAGAAAGTGCCTTGATTCTTGGATTGATCAAGGCCAAATAACTTGCCCTTTGTGTAGATCCAAACTATTGTCAGATCAGGGAGAGCAGATCGAGTGTGAAGGAGATCCATGGAGGAGGGACATGATGATTACCTTGTTTGCAGAGGATTAATATATATATATATAGAGAGAGAGAGAGAGATAGTAATGTTATTTAGTGAAATCACATCATCAAATCAGTAAATGAGGTTAGATTTTTAAGTCTAAATAGTATTACTTATTCCAAGGCGATGAACATGCATTCATATTGCAAAAAGCTTTATTATTGTCATTTACTTGGATTTCTTCTTCGTTTTTCGGTCATCAATTCTACTTTGATGTCAATAAATCAAAATCTTGTATAATATTATGTTATCACTGTAGCTCCTATATGTTTATGATTAAATCAATGTTAAAGAGCTTCTTTTGATGGAGTGTTTGTATGTGCTGTTCATATCAGTAATCTAGAATGTTAAACTTCAGTGGTTTGGGAAAGGTTTTTTGTTAGAACACTTGGCAAACATGAGTAACGAGAAATCTTATGAAAAACACCCTTGTTCGTCAGTGGTAGGTTTTCTACGGTGAGTCCATCTACACATAATGAATCGATCCCTAAGCGACCCCCACCTGCTGTTAAGAAAATATTGATTGTAATTACATTTATAGTGTACCTGGAAACAACTTCATGTGGAATGTCTATCTGAGAAAAGACACCTTTGAATAAGGTTCTTTTGCAACTGTGATAGTTACTGATGATGCACAAAAATAGTTTTGCACACCACCTGTCAAGTATAGATAATAAATGCAATGAAATCAACGAGAAAATTAAAGAAGACACAATTTATAGTGGTTCGGTCAATTCGACCTACGTCCACTCTTCAATGGCTTCAGTCGCCGGGTATTTTATTGATTCAAAGGTATGGAGAACGGAGATACAAGCTTTGAGAGGGGGAATGGAGAATCAAAGAAAAACAATAATCTCCGGTGGTCGGTTCGTCTTCTGAAAGTCTCTGATGGAGCATGTGTTCCTTTCTCTCTCAGATTAGAGCCATTTTATAGTAGATAAGAGATCATTCTTGTGGAGATCATAACATATCCTCAAGGCTTCTTTATCGCAGCTTAGAGATTATCTTCGGTGGAGATGACGACTTATTCTCAACGGAAGGAAGAGTTTGGGGAACTCTTGAAGGAAACGTGGTCAAAGATTGGACCGTTGATAAGCTTTTTGTGCTCTCTTCTTGGTGACGTGCTAAGCAAGAAGTCCAACCGTGCTCTCCTCTTGGTGACGTGCTAAGCAAGAAGTCCAACCGGCCTTGGGCTCCCTAAGGCGGTGTAGATAAACTTCCTGTGCTCTCCTCTTGGTGACGTGCTAAGCAAGAAGTCCAACCGTGCTCTCCTCTTGGTGACGTGCTAAGCAAGAAGTCCAACCGGCCTTGGGCTCCCTAAGGCGGTGTAGATAAACTTCCCGTGCTCTCCTCTTGGTGACGTGCTAAGCAAGAAGTCTAGCCGGTCTTAGTCTGTCTTGGACTTGGTGGGTTCACGATGAGGTTGGGCTCCTCAACCGGGGTTGGGCTTTAATACATAAATTGGACTACTTGGGCTTAACCCATCATTTGCCCCCCAATGCCCCATGTCCAAGGAGACTTGGAGAAGGAGGCATTGATTTCTCTTTTTTTTTTTTTTTTTTTTAGGTTTCTTCCATTTTATTTTAAAGAAGGCCTATAATATTTTGTTTGGCCTTTTGGTTTTGAAAAAATGGCTTATGACTTTCTTTTTGGCCACTTTGTTTTGAAGAGGGCCCATAATTTTCTATTTGCCTACTTTATTTTGAAGAGGGCCCATATTTAGTCTATTTGGGCTTTTTTCCTCTTTTTGAAAAACCCTAGACTATAAATATAGTCTTCTTCTTCAAATTACCACTTCACTTATTTTTAAGGTTGAGCACCCACCTCTTGAAGATTTTGAGAACTCAAGTCCTACCCATTTTGTTGAAGCCAAAGTGTGTGTTCTCCTTGAATCTTTCTAAGAGTGTGATTTCTTCCTTGCTAGTTGAGCTTCTCAAGTGAACAATGTTGATTGAAGAGGGATTGGTGGAGGTTGAAGAAAGTTGTGGATCTGAAATTGAAAGGCTGGGTAGCGAAGAGGAGGCGAGGAGGGGCGAAGGCGCGCTGGGCGCGCGGCTGGGCAGCGCTGGCACGCGGCTGCGCAGCGCGGGCGCGCAGCTGGGCGGCGCGCGCGCGCACGCGGGCGGGGCGCGCGCAGCTGGGCGGCTGTTCTGTGCGCGCTGGGGGCCTGGGCAGCTGCCTAGGGGCTTCTCCTCCTGTCTTGGACAGCCCAGGGGCGCTGGGCAGCTGCCTGGGTGCTGGGCTTGCTGTCCTGGACAGCCCAGGTGCGCTGGGCAGCAGCCTAGATGCTGCTTCTGCTGTCCCGGACAGCTTCGAATCTGCTGCGCTGGGCAGCTTTGGAACGCTGGGCAGCAGCATTTTTCCATCGGGGGGCGCTGAAAATCAGTCCAAGGTTTGTCAGGGAGAGCTAGGCAGTGGCCTGGGAGCACGGGCTGATCCGATTCTCATTCGAGGTGCTGAGTTGGGCGCCTTAGGTGCTGATTTTTGCGCCGAAAATTCTTCTTTGTGTAATATTGAAAGGCCAGGCACCCTTCAAGTTACTGGGCAACTTTGTTTGGATGAGCAACAGCAGTCAGGCACACTTTCAGGCGTTGGGCTAGAAATTGCAAGCAGTAGGGAAGCTTTGGATGCTGCCATTGATGATCAAGCCCTTGTTGTAGTTTCCCCGATTCAAGTTCTTCAAGACTCTCCCAATGGTGATTTGGACTACTCCTTAAGGCCCCGGAAGAAGAAACGTAACAGCAAAGTGGGACCCGATGATGACGGGTCTAAGGTGAGCACCATTCGTAGTTTGTTCTGTTCAGCTGAAGATATTTCTAAGCTTGTTTTTACTTATCGCATCCCTCCGACCGTGTTGTGCCGTCGGGCTGAGTTGGGCGAGTTTGCTTGCGATGACTCTTCCGGGGATATTGTCGTTTACGAGGAGATGCTTGAGGCTGGGTTAAGATTTCCCATGTCTTCCCCCATTTGTCGAATCTTGCATTACTTCTCCTTGACCCCGGGGCGACTAGCACCCAACGGTTGGAGAGTCCTCCTCGGTTTTCTTGCCTTATGGAGAAAAGTGCACCACGAGGATGCTTCCCCTATGGAGTTTCATGCAGCATATAATTTGAGCGAAACCCCTACACCAAATAGGGGATGGTATTATTTTACCGCGCGGAGTGGTACAGTGCTTACAGGGATGCGCTCTAATTGCGGCGGCTGGAAATCTTGTTTCTTCTTTATTGGTGGAGAATGGGCTTCAGAAGCCGACAGAGTTTTGGTGCCAACACATTGGGGTGCTGCTAAAAAGCCCGGTATGCTGCACACTTCTTCTTTTTTTTTTTTTTTTTTATGTGTGCTCACTTTTTCTATGTAGATATACCTGTGCTTTCCCGAGACCAGGAGTGGAAATTGGAGGCTGTCAAAGCTTGCCCTTGCAAAGATTTGGGAGTTCTCCTGCCCAAGTATACTAGAGCTGTAGCTCCATCTCAGAAATCTGGCAGCTCCTCTTCGAAGAAAAAGGGTGAGCTAGTTTCCTCTCCCTTTTTTTTTTTTTTTTTTTTTTTTAACCCTTCTCTATTTCTTGCAGCGAATAAGAGGGTGGTGGTGTCCCGTTTTTCTAGCAGGAGCCCTCCTTCTTCCAAAGTGATAAGGACAGATGATGCTCCCCATGTGGCTTCCACGGTGGCTTCTTCTCAACTAGCAACTTCTCCAACTGCTGCTCCAGAGTCTTCCTTGCTAGGCACATCTGTTCCACCTTTATCCTCTCCTTGTGCTACCCCTCCTTTGTCTCCTCCATGTTCAGGAACTTCTACCCAAGTGCCGATTTGGGCTGGTGCTATGATGGGGAGACCAGCAGCTATCCGGGCAAGGCTTGGGAGGTTTGTGTTTGGGCCAGAAGTTTCTGAGCTTAGCGCTTCGGGCACTGATAATATCGTCAACACGTATTTGGAAGGTCTGGCTCAGGTAAGGGTTTGCTATTTCCCTTTCTCCAGTCGTTTCCTGTGTTTTTGACTCCTTCTTTTTTTTTTTTTTTTTTTTTTTTAGGTTTCGACTTCCTCCATCTGCTTGCTTTCGAGGGCCTATAATCAAGACAAACTGAAGCTGGATCTTAGCCTTGTGCAGAGGGAGCTTATTACTGCTCAGGAGAGGATTGTCGAGCTTGATTCTGAGCTTTTGGTGACCCGTGAGAGGGACGTGCTCCGGGAGGGTGAGCTTGTGGCCGCACATGAAAGGTTTTCTAATTTAGAGTCTGAGCTTCTGGCGGCCCGCGAGAGGGACGCGCTCAGGGATGGTGAGCTTGCTGCAGCCCATGAGGGCCACTAAGCTAGAGGCTGAGCTTTTGGCAGTCCGCGAGAGGAGCACGCTCAGAGATGGTGAGCTTGTTGCAGCCTATGAGAGGGCCACGAAGCTAGAGGCTGAGCTTTTAGCAGTCCACGAGAGGAGCGCGCTCAGAGATGGTGAGCTTGTTGCAGCCTATGAGAGGGCCACTAAGCTAGAGGCTGAGCTTTTGGCAGTCCGCGAGAGGAGCACGCTCAGAGAGGCTGAGCTTGTAGAGGCCCATGGGAGGGCCATGCTCAGAGAGACAGCTGTTGCAGAGGCAAAGCTGACGGCTGCTAGGGAGAGAGTTTCCCGTGCTGAGGAAGACTTGGAGAACGGTCTTGCAGATGCTTTTATTGATGGTTTCGAGGATCTCCGAGGGAAAGTTTCTACCGCTTTCCCTAATATTGACTTCTCGTCTTTCGTGCCTACTGACGACAGTGATGAGGGGAGATCTGATGCTGTTGATGACAATGAGGATGAGGTGGGGGACGACCATGAGAGCAGTTAGAGTGTTTGGGACTTTTGATTTTTTTTTTTTTTTTTTTTTTTTTTTTTGAAAAGGCGGTATCTGGCCTTATCTTTGTACCGATACTCCTTTGAAATGAAATACAGAAAATCTTTTTGGAGTAAATGGCCTAGAAAATTTTATTAATTTATTGCTTATAAAAAGCGGTATTGGGTGATAATTCCCAAAGAATAAAAATACATTAAAATCTTGGGTTACACCGCTAAAAATCGAATCAAGTCCCAATTTCTACTGCTTTGATGCTCTCAAGGTGTCATTGGTAATACCTTTTCAAATGCTCTGCATTCCATGGATGGAGTAAAACTTTTCCCTCAGAATCTTGAATTTTGTAGGTGCCTGGTCTCACTACTTCTGTTACGCGGTAGGGTCCTTCCCAATTTGGTCCCAGCTTCCCTTCGCGTGCATCTTTTGTAGCGAGGATTACTTTTTTGAGGACCAAATCCCCAGGTTGGAAAGAACGGGGCTTCACCCTCGAATTGTAGTACCTTGTCATGCGCCGTTTATATTCCGCGTTGCGGACTACAGCCATCTCCCTTGCTTCCTCCACCAAGTCGAGGTTGCTACGGAGTCCTTCCTCGTTGGTGATGGGATCGTGGTGTTGGACCCTTAGGGAGTGTACCCCTATTTCCACAGGGATGACCGCCTCGGTT